GACAAATTTTTAAAGTCCAGGCGGATTTTAAAATGAAAAAAGAACTTTAGATGTTAGACACAAAACCAGTCTTTGAAATAAAAATCTGAGCTGATGAAGCAAACCACATGTAGATGACTCAGAAGATGACAAGGCAGTGACCTTTAGGAGAGATGGGCCGGTCTTTGTGGCCCCTCATCCTGGCTTCCGGGCTTCTGATGACATCAACCCCTTCCCTCCTTTTCTGGGTCTGGGGTGACAGCTGCTTCCTGTACTCACTGTGTGCCTTCAGCCCTCCGAGCCATCCCTGAGTGACCACCTGGGCTCGAGGCATCCGTGACATGCGGGGGTCTCAGCAGTCACCATGCTGCCCCCTGCACTCGAATGGGGTGAAGGGCCAAGGACAGCAAGTGCCCGAGGAGCCAGAGCAGCTGCTACCCTGAACTGTCATGGAGGGAATGCCAGGGACTAAAGCTGGGCTGTGCAGTCACTGCAGTGTCCCTGGGAGGAAATTGACAAGGACACCTGCCTTACCTCTCAGCTCAAGTCACAGGATGACAGCCACAGCTCTTCCATGGCAGCCTGCAAATTCCCCTGTGCCTGTTGGGCTGACGGGACTGGAAATCAAACACAGCATTCCACCGTGTCAGTTGCAGAATCCCCAGGTCGCTTGAATTCCCAGCCTCTCTGCATTTCCTAGGTAAAAGGCAGGGCACTGCCTGGCCGAGTGGGGCCTTGAAACTGAGACTCGGGATATCTGGTTGCCCTCAGTGGAAGCTGACAATGGACAAGCCCCCAGTCCCCCAGAGCCTCCCTTGCGGACGGAAGTAGCTTGCCCAGCTGTGTCTGGAAGGCTGGTGTTCTGTCCTTTGAGGACTGTGTCATTACCTCACCTGGTGCTGATCCCTTTCAAGGGGACACAGACTGTCCTCCAGACCCTCTGCCACCACGTCCTGTTGCCACGAGACCCATAGTGAAGTGAGTGAAGTCAAAGTCACTCAGTCGTGTCCGACTCTTTGCGACCCCATGGACTATACAGTCCATGGAATTCTCCAGGACAGAATATTGGAGTGGGTAGCCTTTCCCTTCTCCCCGGATCTTCCCAGCCCAGGGATGGAACCCAGGTCTCCCACATTGCAGGTGGATTCTTTACCAGCTGAGCCACAAGGGAAGCCCTTTAGACCCCTAAGTGGGTCCAATTACTGCATGATCCAGAGCACAGGGATACAGTATGGGTGGGGACATCTCTCATCTCTGCCCTTCTCCCCTACACTCCTCCCTTCCTGCTTGAGTGGCCTGCAAGTTTTCTGTTTGTTCTTCTCAGTAAGCAGGGAACCCCATGGGGACCATTTCAGGATTACTGAGTGTCAGGCACCCCGTTTCTCATCCTGTGCATGGCCCAGCAAGGTATTGTGCCACAGTAGGGGGATAGAATGTACCTGTCTTCCTCTCTGGTGGCTGGTAAAGCTGTCCCTGGGAGGCATATCTGTAGGTGGGCATGCTCCGACTGGAGGACTCCACTCCCAGACCCCAACTCTCCACGTGGCATCACTTTCTCTGTCCTTTTATGTCCCGGAGGGCTTGTGCTGCACACGGTTGCCACCAGCATTTCGTGCGCCTTCACGCATATCCACCACCACGCCCCCGCCCCGTCCTTCCACCCCTACCTCAACCACCTCAGCTTTCTCTTCTCTCGGGCCATATTTCTTGCTCTCTGCTGGCCGTCAGCCCTAGGTTGGGAGCACTGCCCTTATTCGGCTTGTTTATGGGGACCCAGGCCGCCGCGGGCCTCTCTCTGCTTCGGGTGCTGAGGCTGCAGCCTCAGTCCGTCAGTCTCCCCTTTCAGGGCGGCCCCACCCCCTGGGGTGGTGCAGGTGACGCTGATTGGCTAAGGCTCAGTGAGTGACCGGACAAAACCCAATGACGTGGCCCGGGCCGCGCGGATTGGCCAGCCCCGGGCAGGCGGGCGCAAGGTGTGTGGAGAGCCGGCGGGGCGGGTGGGGTGCAGGCCTTCGCCAGGCAGTGGCCAAATGGTGGGTAGGTACAGGCGGGTCGGAGGTGGGGGTTACGAGCTGCCAAGGCTGTCGAGGAGAGGGTTGGCCAGAGTGGGAGAAGGCGGGGCCCATTCCCTGCCGAGCCCTGGGCGATCCCAGTGAGGCTGGAAAGTGGCTGTGGTGTGCGTGCGTGCGTACGGAGTGCGGAGGCCACTGCTGGGGAGTAGGAATGAGCCACAAGCTAGGGTAGCCCTCAGTGGGGACATTTATATGACATTTTTAAAATCCTGGCCACAGCCCTATGGGAGAAGCTGTCTCCATCCTCAGCACTGTCACCCCCTTTGACAAATGAAGCAGGCCAAAACGGGTGACAGTTCACCTTTACATACATGAGTAGGCGACCTGCAGATTAGAATCATGCGGCAGGGTCACCAGAGTCTGTGGCTCCAGAACAATCAAGGGACATTCAGACACTTAAGTGCCTAGACCAGTTGACAGCATTCCTGTACCCTATCACCTCGGCTACTCTGCACCCTGGAGGTATACCTGGGCCACTCTCATCCCTACATGATCATCTCTCCTCCCAGCCCCTATTCCTAAGATCAGCTCTTCTGTTCTCGCCCAACACCTGCGGGGGCCTGAAAGTCTTTTGGAATGGAGTTTTTACCATGGATTGTATTTGGAACTCCATTTAGGCTTCAACAGTGCACTGCTGCACAGTATATGTTGTGGATATCCCCAAATCAGGCATTATACATCTCAATACAAGCTAGTGTGGTGCATGGTCACACATCCTGGCTTATCTGTGTTCACAATGGCTTTACCTTAGAGTGCTTTATAGATGTCATGGTACCATTATGGTCATTGTTTCATTCACCCCTCATCAATCTGCTTTAACCACACACACACACTCAAAAGAGTAAACAGAACTATCACATGACCTGGCAACTCCTAGCTTTATATACACCAATGTAAGTAAAACTATAATCCACAAACTTCAAAATGAATGTTCGTAGCATTATCCACAATAGACAAAAACGTCTATTTGCTTGTAAAAAATCCAGATTTCTACAAACTGATGGACAAAACAGTCTATACATAAGATGGACTATTATATGGCCATAAAAAAGAATGAAATTCTGTAACATGCTCTAATGTAGATGAACCTGGAATACATTATGCTAAGAAGATAGGAGACAAAAAGGTCACATACTGTATGATGCCCTTCATACAAAATGTCCAGAATATGTTAAATCCCTAGAAACAGGAAACACATGAGTGGTTACCAGGGGCTGGGACAGTGAATGGGGATGGACTACTCAGGGGTGCAGTTCTCTCTGGAGTGATACAAATGTCCTAAAGTGAACCACAGTGATGGTTACAGAACTCTCTGAGTATGCTAAGTACCACTAAATTGTATTCTTTCAATGGGTGAACTGCATGGAATATGAGATGTCCAGTTAAGTGAGGTAAAATTTTGATTGTTTGCATTTTATCAATTTTCTGTATGACCCTGTAATCAATTGTTATTTTTATAGAAAAATGTCAACTACTTACTATTTACTTAGCTGCACCAAGATTTACTTGCAGCATTGCAGCATGTGGGCTCTAGCTCCCCAACCAGGGATTTAACTGAGGCCTTCTGCATTGGGAGTGCAGTCTTAGCCACTGGACCATCAGGGAAGTCCCTGGTATTTTTAGTATTTTTGTATTTTGATAAATTTGATCTATTTTCTATCAATTATATCAACTATTTTTAAAATTTTTGAAGTCTTATGAAATAAACATACTAATTATGCTAATTTTACAGGCCAGGGAACCAGTTTAGTGATTTAAAAAGCCAGGAACAGAAAGACTAAGCCCTGAAGACGACTCAGTGGCAGACTGGTTCTTCCATCTCTAGCACACATTCTAGAACAAAAACCCCTTGATGACCAGTTAGTGAGAATGATAGAAATAAGGACCACGACATACCAGATACATCCAGTCAACTTTAGTTTTGAAGCTCTGGTCTATCTCTCATTTCTCTGGCAGGTATTCTCTTGTATTCCAACCACATGGTTTAAATGCTCAGATCTAAAATAAGGAGTTGGCTCAGGGCTGGCTTTTCAGGCTGCATACTGTCCTCTAATGGTCTACCTCCTGCCCACTACCCTTTCCAGGGCTTGATGGGGACATGGATCACTCTCCTGGTTTAAAGAACAGCTTCTTCCTTATTTAGGATCTTATCAAGGGGAAACCAAATCACACATATAAGGCACAAACAGAGCGAAACAGCTAGCCGATTCTTCATTGCTTTATTAACATCAACTTTAGTATCGTCAGTAGATGAGTACAATTGAGCTAACAGTTTGGTTTGGTCACTGGGTAAATAGACATTCCTGAGATCTCACCAGAGAGCACAGTGTGGAGGTCAGACCTAGTCGTGTCCTCTCTTCACAGAACAGTCAATTCAAACAGCACAGGACATCCTAAGAACTTTCACCGCTGCTCCACAGCCTCTGCACGGGAGAGGAGGGATGAAGGCAAACACCAGAGGAAATTCCACACCAACTGCAGTCACACAGTACCTGGAAAGCTACAGGTAGGATAGCAGCACCTGACCTCATGCACGGGCCATCAGTGGGCAGCATGGTGGTATAATGCTGCCCAACTTGGGTGACTGCAGTCTACAATTCAATTCACATTTTTTTTAACTTATGAGGAAAATGCACACATTTAAGAAACTGTTACCTTATGTTTGTCTCTACCCCATTATCTCTAGTCTCATCAGAAAACTTGCTGTTAGATGGTTGTTTTGTTAGCTATTCTGTCATTTCAAACTTTCTCTTATAATCCACTTTAATGATTCAAAGGTAAGAGTTATACATGTATATGTAGTTATGGCTTAACAAGAAAGCAGTTAACTTGCATTATTTTTAAAAAGAATAAAGCACAATAGCATAGATTTAAGTGATCATCTGGCAACAAGCATAAACATAAGGTAAGGTAAACAGGCCAGTCTGTTGGTCAAAGCCAACAGCTAAGCTATTGCATTAAAATACGTTCCACAGCCAATATGATGTGTTTGGAACTGATTCCAAACATATCCAGCAGATCACTGGGCTTCCCGCTCCGAGGGACCCCTGACACTGCCAGCTGATGGACCACGATGTCAGGCTCCACGGAGACGGCTGCACAGACGGCCTCCCCGATGCCACCTGCAGAAGCAAGGGATATTAGGGTCTGTTCTGGAAGCAGCTCGTCAGCCTCAAAACCCCATCATGTAGAGACCTTTGAATGTGTGATTCCGTGGGAGAAATGTTTCACACTAGGCACTGATTTTATAAACAACCGTTCCCTAACTGGCCAGAAGAGTTCTCATTCAAAAGTACAAGTCTTCAAATTGCTCCCAGCCCTACTTATGGCTGGGGTTATCTCCACTGGGGCTCCATGGATGCAAGGATCTGTGGAGATCAGATTCTCAAACCTTTGAGGAGCCCAAGAATTGGCTGCTGACTTCGGAAAGGCTGGCGTGCAAGGCTGGCCCGGGGGTGGTGCCTGGGCAGTAGGTTGGTGCGAGTCCTTGACATAAATGAGACACTTTCTCTACTGCTAAGAGTGGTCTCTGTGCCTCAGCTGTTGGCACCACAGGGTGGTTTATGGGGCGCACCTGCTTTCCTCTGGGACTCGGGAAGTTTGGCACGTGAATGGCAGCCATCAGCCCTTAATAATACTCGTGGCAGTGAGTCTCGTGTGGGTTCCCTAGGTCTCCAGGGGGGCATCTGTTGCCGCCGGATGAGGGAGCAAGCTGGGGTCCCCCAAAGGAGGGAGGGAGGGAGAGAGGGAACCAAAGGCATGGGGTCTTCACCCCTGACCTGTGTCTTCTGCCCCCTGGGGGTCCCAGTGTGTGCCCTTTCCTTGGAGAGTGCTTCCCTGCAGACCACGGGCTTGCTCTGGAGCCCCTGACACATGAACACATGAAGCTCCCCACTCGCTCCTTTGCTCTACCTGACCTTCCCTGGCCAAACACTGCCCAGCCCCTCTCCCTGGCCACACTTCCTCCATTTGCTGTGTTCTCTGCTTGCAAGGTACTGTCTTCATTTTTTGCAAGGGGCAAACTATGAATCAGTCAATACACAAGAGCAACTGTGAAGCTTCTTACGATCCCTCCTGCCACAATGCCAAGTTAGACATTCCTCTGTACTGCCACTGAGCCACCCAAGGGCCAGGCAGGGCACACTGTGCTGAGTACAAACAAACGAGGATGGACATGAGACCTCCCTTAGCTACTGTAGATGTGCAAGAGACCCTACACCCACACCCTTGCAAAGAGCAAGTAATACAGGGTGAGTGGTTGGCTGCAGGGACTTGGACTGCCCATGGTCATGGCATACTTCTGGTCAAGGAAAACAAAACATGTTCCACCAAAGCAGACTATCAAAATGGTCTGCCCCCAAGGCTTGCACATACCTTCTGGGTAGTGATCCTCCACTGTGATAATCTGGCCACCTGTGGCTTTTGCATTGGAGATGATGGTGGCAGCATCCAGAGGTTTAATAGTAAACAGGTCAATGACACGGATAGAAATATCTGGAAAACAGCAATAACCAGCTTAGTGTATCAAGCAGGCTTAGACTAAAAAGATGCACTGGGGCAGACAGGCAGCCCAACCTCCACGTCTTCCAGCCCAAACTTCAGTATTCAGCAACCCCCAACTGACCTTGCTTGGAAAGATCATCAGCGGCAGCTAAGGCCTGGTGCAAAGTAATTCCAGCTCCAACAACTGTAATCTTGTCATTCACACTTTGACGGATGACCTGGTGTTGTGCCCACAAAACAAAAATGCTGCGCTTACTACACGGAATGAGTCTCCCAAGTGGAGGACAGGCTGCTCTCCAGAGCCTACCAATTTCAGTGCTTCACAGTTCAGCACACTGACCAATAAGGACTGCTCTCTTTAATAAGCCCCACTTCATGTTTATTTAACAAATTTGTCTACCTATCCTCATGATTTACAATGCCAAATCACTGAATTCTTTTACAGTATGTATGCAAAATGACCCTTTACCAAAGCAGGTGGATTTCCAACTGGAATGTGAAAGGCAGAAGGCCAGAAGCAAATTGGACAGCCCATCTGCTCCTTGGTGGTGGACTCAGCCCCACCAAGGGGTCTGAAAAAGCACCACCTCTGGACTGCTTAGACCTCTTTCTGGGGGTATCCATGCAGATTGGACTCTGATGATGAACATGCTAATGAGGGCTATTTGAGAGCACCTTGGGGTGCTCTGTGCCAAGCATCCTGCATGCCCAAGTGCCCTGTGATGCCCATGCATTAGTGGGCCCATTCTGTGACCGAGGAAAGCAAACCTAAGAACAGGAGGAACTCACCCAAGGCAGGGTTGAGACCAACAGCCAGACCCATATGAATTCAAAGCCCATGTTCCCAACCATCTGCTAGTCTATAAGCAGACAGGGTTCTCTGCTCTTTTTTCATTGGTTTGTTTCTTTCAAAGTCACCCAACCAAAGGCAACTGGAATTAGTCTGCATTGCATTCCTCTCTATAGGTTTCCCTGTAACATAAGCACCACTGCTGACTAGATATTTAGGGTTTCAAACCACTTGCCCCATCCTTTAAGAATGTCCTAGCCTTTGTATGTGCATGTATGTAAATATATACACACACACCTATATGCCCCTTTGCAAACCCAGCCTATAATTATTCATGCCATGCATACTATCACACATAATTTAACTCACATCAGGAAATTTACTTCATTTTGTCAGGACAGGACAAACATCACAGGGAAAAAAAAGACAAGAGAGATGTGAAAACTCTGAAAACCACATGACTGTCACCGAGACACCCTCCCTGCCACCCCCAGAGGCAAACAGATGGCCTTGAGTGGGAGTCCAGGGAACAATAGCACCTGTAGTTCACACTGAAGTGAAGAGTTCAGCTTTTCCATTCAGTGGAATGAAACTATGGGGGGCTAGGAACTGTTCTGGATATACCTGCTCTCCTGTGGCACTAAAGCTATTCAGAGCTCATTTATTCATTCTGAGCACAACCACTGTGAATTCTGGAGCAGCCTAGCCCTTATTAATCAAGTTGGAAGTCACGTATTGCTCCTTTAAGAGTGACTATCATTCTTTTAAACACTTAAGAAGAGTATTCTAAAAGGCTTATAAGATAAAAGGCAGGACATAAAACAGTCCTACGCAGCATGATCTCAGCTAAGATATACACCTAGAAAAAGTCAGGAAGAAAACATGCCCAAACGTCTGTAAGGCCTGCCTTCTAGGTGGTGGACAATCATGTATTTTCTCCACAGATGCTATTGGCTTTCTGCACACACAACTCTGAAAGGCAGGCCCACAGACAGCGGGTTGCTTACTGGGCTTGCTGCTTACCCTTCTTTGGCCCTCATCTTCAAAATATGGCTGCTAACTATCTGTGCTTCCAAGGCTTTCTCAAGAACATAGGAGATAGGAAGCACCCAGCAGGCCTGAAGGTATATCCACATCCCACAAAACCAACCTCAGGGCCACACGATGGCCAGAGGCAAGATGGTTCATGTTTGTTATATTCCTGGCCTCTGATGGGCAAAACAAGAACCTAACAGATCTACTACTCATTTGAAATGGGTTCTATCATTTTCTTAGCTTGACGCTGTCTGTGGTAACGTACAGCCAAGCAACTCAAGAGTCTTCAAGTTATTTATCTTTAAGGGTTCAACAGAGACTCCTTTCGCAAAGGAGAAACGTTAAGTTCAGGCTGACATTGGCAGAATATTACTTTCTGAAGAAAAGCAGGCAAATATCATGAATTTTTTAAAAAAACTAGAACAAAGGAAGAATGAAGCCTCAACTGTCGGGGCCCCTAGCTCTGGCTTTAAAGAACAGTGCTCCCAACACAAACTAATACTGGAAGATACAGGAGAACTTAAGGCCTTACCTTCGCCTGTCCAATCTCAAAGCTTTCTTGTGGGGTATAAATAATTGCAGTTTCTGGCCGACTGGTTCGAATGTAGCACATCCCCTAGGGTGTAAATGAATACCAGAGCCACAGTTTAGAAAATAAAACTAAATTTCCAACTAATAAACCTTAAAAAGCAGCTGGGAAGGAATGAACAATTCTTAGTATGAAAAACAAAATGTACATTCTGGAGCGAGGGATAACCATCTCTAACCACTGGCAACAGGTCAGGTGTTACTGATCAGGAGGCAAAAGCCTGTGAGGGAAGCTGCTGGATGCCCAGTGACAAGCTCTCCATGCTATCATGCTCACCCCTTTGGGAAAGCTTCCTCAGATACACCCTGATCTGTTCTGTCTCGACAGAATGTAAACTCGGGGCACGAGCACTTACTTACCTTGAATAGAAACCCTAAAACATAATGGTAAACAATTTTTGTCACAACAGCGTGTAATACTTCATTCTTAGAAATACCTTAAATACCAGAACATAAAATTACTCATCTTCCAATGAGAAGATGTCAATTTTTTTCATCATCATCACCTTGAACATATAAATAGAACTATAAATGAATACTCAAATATCTAGAGTATTTGTTAATTTGTGTGCATGCGTGCTAGGTCATGTTGAACTCTGCGACCCCATGGACTGTGTAGCCCACCAGGCTCCTCTGTCTACAGGGCTTCCCAGGTGGCACTAGTGGTAAAGAACCTGCCTCCCAGTGCAGGAGACCTAAGAGACCCGGGTTCAATTCCGGGGTTGGGAAGATCCCCTGACAGGGGGAAATGGTGAATTCTCTGTGCCACCTGAGAACCCAATAGTTGATTTACATACATATTTAAATCATACATGATAAATTAATACATTAATTTAAAAACACTGCTTCCTTTTGTTCATTTACATGCTATGAACCAGTTCTGTTCAGTACATTTTTAGGAGGTAAAATTTACTTAAGTGGAGCACACCCTGAATTCTGACAAGATATATACCATGTATCTGTCTGTCTCCTCAGACTGGAGAGCATCTGTACTTGCCCAGAAAGTTCCCGCATGCCTCTCTCCCACCCAAGGAGCAACCTCTATTCTGATGTCTCTTTTGAACTTTACACAGTAAGATACCACAGCACACATGAGCTTGTGCTGTATGTGCAGACATACAATAATGTCCAGGATAATACACCAAGTAGAAAAGTACAGAACCATGTGTAAGCCCACTTAGGTTAAAAAAGAAAAAAGAAAAAAGAAAAAAAAAGTCAAAGAAACTCATGTCTCCCACACGTTGGAAATGCCAGGAATGGAACTTGCATGTTGCATGACCCACCTCAACTGTGTGCAGGGCTGTGTGCAGGGCTGGGGGGTTGTGGTGGTGAGGTGAGTCTGGTGACTGCTAGCTGCAGAGTTTGGAAAGGTAAAGATTCTGTTCCTTCAACTGTCCTTCAGCTGCAGGGTTCTGTGTCTCCTGCACTGCAGGCAGATTCTTTACCCTCTGAGCCATCAGGGAAGCCCCTGCAGCTGGGTTCTGGACAAGAGCCAGGTTGTGTCCAACTGATGCCCCGGGTGAGACTTCAGGAGGGGCAGGCAGGGCAGAAGTCAGACTCTTACCCTTCTAAGCAGTTTTTGAGGAGGGTGAGCCAGGGCTGGGGATTCTAGGGTTCATCTGCAGCTGCCGCTGACAACTCTCCAGCTTTCTGGCTATCACGAGGTGGCAGTCACACACGCTGAGTCTAACACCTGCACCTGGGGACTTGTCACTGGAGCCCACTCCAGTGGGCTTGGCTCTGCCAAGGACTCCCAGTCCCCAAGTCCCACAGTTTCCCCCTCTTCTTGACCTAGGTCCCACCCCATACAGGTCGCTGGGAGTTTGACCTTTTCTGCACTGTTTTTTTACAATGTAAATGTGTTCATGTTCTACATGCTTCTATTACCCTTTTTGGGGTAATGGTTCCATCTTTAAAGGGAATCCTACAGGATTTCCCTGGGGGTCCAGTGGTTAAGAACTCGCCTGCCAGTGCAGGGGACACAGGTTAGATCCCTGGACCAGGAGGATCCCACATGCCACAGAGAGACTAAGCCCATGCACCGCAACTACTGAAGCCTGTGTGCACCCTAGAGCCCATGTTCTGCAACGAGAAGCCATCACAATGAAAAGCCTGCACACCACAACTAGAAATGAAGTCCCACTTGCTACAACTGGAGTAAGCCTGTGCAGCAACAAAGACCCAGTGCAGCCAAAAAAAGGCTGCAATCAAATTACCTGTGACAAATATCTATTACCTTTATGATGAGACAAGTAATATCAAACCATCAGTACCAAACTAGCAGCAGAGCCCAGACACATTGTTTGTCTGCACCAGCGTTCTCTCAGAAATACCTTCGTATTGGCTGCCAGGAAAACAGCATGCTCTGTCGAGATGGCATCACTTGGATAGAAAATCTTGCAGTTCGGAATGGCTCGGAACATGGCTAGGTCCTCTAGGGCCATCTGGGAGGGGCCGTCTTCACCTGAGAAAGCAAAATCATAGCCCAACAAAGAAACCCCAGTAGGAGCCTGCCCTCCACTGGATGAGTGACTGTGCTGCCTGCCATGGGAGCCACCATCCCAGCAGTCGCCACAGACACTGCAAGCAACACAGCAGAAGCCACTTCTTGGCCTTGAGCCTCGCCAGCATCTGGCACTCAGTGTGACGGGTACTGCTGCCCTAGGTGACCCGCACTCTCTTCCAGGTACCAGGTCTCTTCCCGTGTCCTCTTCTCTGAGGAGGGTCCCTCCAGACTCTGTTGTTTCTTCTCTGTGCTTTTACCTTTTCCATCAAGAGATGAAAGTTTTCAGACTCGAGTGGTCTCTCATTTCTCATGGCCTTCAAAGTAGCTGAGCATTACAGAACATACCTTCAGGGTGCCCTGGGGGTACTGTTGGAACTCATGGACTTCATTGAACCCAATGTACACCAGGGTGTCCAAGCTCTTCCAGCTAGGAAGGGGACTGCCATCATGGACACTGCCTGGCCTGGGACTGTTGTCTCTCCAAAGAACTTCAGTTCCTCTGGGTTGGACTTAGAACCACTTTTCCACTTGGCTGACTTGAAAACTAACTTTGCACCCAGCCCCAGGAGAGGCCCCTGTGCAGGCCCTCCTCTCTCCTCTTTTCCCTTGAATCTGGCCCACAGAGAGTCTCCTTTGCCACTCAAGCTCTCCCTGGAAGTCCCTGGGACAACACCCAGATGTGCAGTTCCAGCCCTCCCCTCCAGCCTTCTGGCAACAAGGGTCAGCTGTCAGTCACATCTACCTTGATGACCTGCCCTGCCACAGGCATGTCAGGTGCCCCATCTTTCTAGAGTCCCCACTGCTATCCTCCACAAACACAACTCCCAGATGTTTCCTAGGCAAGAAACTACTGGGCACTGGCGTTTTGCTTCTCATGCAGCTTGGGACTTCTCCTCCTGTCAGCAATGTTGACGTCTTTCCACAGGCTCTTGCAAGTTTGTTCCATTTTCTATCCAGTGCTAATGCACACCTCCATCCTCCTCCTGGCTCCCCCATTTCCCATCCACAGTTAATGCCCCGATGTTGGGCACCTCGAGGCTTCCCATTCTATCCAACCAGGCTGCTTATCCCAGCAGAGCCCTGGCAGGCTGTTTGTCCCAACTCAGACTAAGGTGACCAAACAGCAGGAAAGACTTCTGTGATGCCAGAGTGGCCTAATCACTACTAGTATGTGGCTTGACACAGAAGAGGCACTGAGGATAAGGATTTCTCAATGACTGAAACAATGGGCACTTTACAGTAATACCAGGAGATCAGCTAAAAAGTTACCCAGTTTCTGGAACTTCTAAAATGGCCTTTTTCAAAAAACTGGTTACAAATAATCAAACTAATATCATGGAACTCTATGCTGGGCAGTTCAACTGCTCACATGCTGATCTTTCTCTGTAAAGGAGGAGGGCAATTAAGATGATGGCATTGAGAACTCATACC